CCAATCTCTTAGTGCCTGTTTCTTTGACCACCTCTTATCTATTGGCTCCGTATCCTCCCTCTACTCCCAAAATGTAGGTACGTTCCTCGAGGTTTGTCCCTAGCCTGCTTTTAATTCCATTCTTTCCCTTAGGGAACTACACTATGGATCCCCTATCCACCCCCATGTGGATGACGGGCCATCACTAATCTCTCTTAAACTCTAGACTTTTCTTCACAACAATCTGCTGGCAACTCTACCTGTACTTTGTTTATTCCAATAGAACTCATAACTTTTCCCACCCCACATACCCAAAACTAATTCCACCCATTCCATTTAACAAAACTATCATTCTCCCATTTGCCCACGTCCAAAACCTCAGTATTTTCAATTATTTCCTCCATCTCAAACCCACATACAAATAACTACAAAGTCCTACAGATTTCCCACATACAGTACTTCTCACATCCATCCTTTTTTTCCCATTCCTACAAACTTACAAACTAGTTTAGGACCTTAATACCTCTGGCTTAATCTTTTTGTAAATGGGCCTCCTTACCTTAATCTCTGCCATCTTAATCTCCCACGATTCCCCTACATATACCCACAATCTAACTCAGAGGCTCTTGACTGGCTGCGCTTTAGAATCATCTGGGGTGCTTTTAAAACAAACAAAAGCCAAGGCCCATTCCCAGAGTTTCTGACTTAAGTGGCCTAGGGCAGGGTGGTCTAAGCACAGGCTTTTGTTCATAGGTGGTGGTGGTGGTGTCTTTTACTCTCAGGTGATTTTAATGTACAGCTAAGGCTAAGAACCACTGCTAGCCAAACTAGAGCAAGGTTTTCTCAAACATACACCTTGTTTTCTTACATAAAATTTACTCAACTAGTTTTGTCTGGCTGTCTTCATAAATGACACTTATTTCTCTGCCATGGACTACCATTACAAATTTGTTCAATTTTATAACTTATAAGTCAACCTGAAATTTTCGTTCAAGCCCCCATCCCTCCAATCAGCCTCTCCTTCCTTCCTTCCAGCCATTTACTACATGTACATATGCAGCAAGCAATTTTTTATAAAGTTCATTTTATGTTGGCAACTAGATCATGACTTTAGGCAAGTAAACTCTCTGAACCTGGATTTCTCACCTCTACTCTAAAATAAAAAGACTGGATTAGATGACTTATAAGTTTCTTTCTACAAGAAAATTATGATCCCGTGATTATCTTACCAAAACAAGCTCTGGGACCACTGTTGAATGATGCTGCTAGTAAGCTTTACTAAACACCCAGTTCGAAACAGTTCTAAGTTCTCTGATGGTTTTTGCAATTAGATTTAATACCATATCTAGTATGATTCTATCTGGCAAACAACATCAATGTTTTTAATAACACAAAATAGAACATTTAAAGCAGCTTTTTAATCACTGTAATCCTAATGCAGCCAGAAAAATGGTAAGAAGTACCATCACACAAGTTCTTAAATCTAGATGCCAAGTTACTATTACCTTTTACAAACTGATTAAATCAATGTGTTCTATTATTATCATATAAACCTGGCCAGAGGAAACATGCAAGTTCAGTTTTCCAATTAAGTTGTTAACTTTAATATTAACATACGAAAAATAATCATGGCAATGAAGTAATGGGCTACTTATTCCTTATAGCTAAATGCAAATAATAAATTCAGAAAAACATTCCATTTCCTAAATTATGGTCAAATATATTAATTATGAAGAGAAGTCTTTCTGGTAAAGAGAACTCTATAGCTAAATGCAAATAATAAATTCAGAAAAACATTCCATTTCCTAAATTATGGTCAAATACATTAATTATGAAGAGAAGTCTTTCTGGTAAAGAGAACTCAATGGTAAAGGCTAAAATGCAGCAGAAAAGCACTGAGCTGGCTGTTAAGAAATTAAAATCCTATATTAGACAAAAGAGTTCTGACTCTACTCTAGCCATCATGAACAGTTTCTTATCTTAAGCTATGCCTTGTTTCCACATATACAACATGAAGATGTCAAGCTAAATAAATCAGTTCCAAAATTCCCTGATAAAATCACCCATAAGCTTTTCAAAACTACAGAACACCAGGCCCCTCCCCTGGAGATTCTTCTGATATAGTAGGTCTGAATTTTTAATTTTTTAAATTAGTGACCTATTTATTTTCATAAAAGGTTGAGAAACATTAAGTAAGATATACTCTGAGGTCTATTTCTAGCTCTAGAATTCTGCTGCATATAGAATGATACACATAGTAGGTGTTCAATAAATACAGCAAAATGGCTTGGTAGTAATCTCAGAGAATATTAGAAGAATCACTAATGTCAGATAAATACATGACTATTTTGATTATATCTAATCAGTGAAATAATACGTCTGACAACTATATAAACACTCTTTTTTGTTTGTTTCAACGTTTCAATATGTTTCAAAAAGAGATTGTGTTCTTTGTATTAAGAGCTATACACAAAATCTGACAAAATACATTACTCTATAAAAAAAGGAAAGACTTAGGAAAAGGAGACAATTTCAAAAGTTAAATCAATCCTTTGAAAACTAATCCTCTGAGTTTGGTTCAAGTATCAATTTTAGGGTAGAAACAGTAAGTTTTTAACTCTTTTCCTTTCACTTTGAAGACCACTGTTTTTTAATATTAATTTTTATTTTTTAGTAATAACTGGTATGTTCTATAACTTGGGTTCTGAAAACCATATAACACTATATTTATAGATTTACCTTCAGCCTTCACAAAAAGAAACTACCTACTTTTTCACATTTCATGTTTCTGTTAGGTTACATTTTATAAACTCTACTAATAGGAAACTATTCAATTACAGAAATCCTGTATAGATTTTATTCACAATTAAATTATTTAAATAAGTGAGATTTCTTTAATGTGCAAAAACTGGCAGTCAGAAAACATACTGGAAAGGAACTATTTAACAAAACATCCATTCTGTCAAGCTGTACTAGTTGGAGAAAGACAAACGTTTAGAATAAAAAGGTTAGCCTATCTATTCGGCATGTTACTTTTCATCGAGCAGTATTAAATAAATGGCAGTGGCACGGTAAGAAATGTCAGCTGACTCCTTCAAAGGCTTAGCTCTTAGCCTTAGTAAAATGATGATCAGCATTAGGTTCAAAAGCCTAGGACTCATAAGTACTTAGGAGGACACACCCTATTTTTTCTTCCTGGGTTTAAACCATCACAAAGGAGGAAGTTTTGAATCAAAGAGTTTATGTTTTGCCACCTGACAAGCCTCTGTTAGAAATCTGAACCTCTAACCTACTGCTACTCCCAAGTACGGACCTGACATTATGCCAGAGCACATATATAGAGCCCTAGGAGCAGCAGACAACCATTTTAATATTATAATTTCAATGCATTCTGCATATAGCCAGAAGTTAAAACTCCACAGCATACCTCATTCTCATAAAAGTTATGTTTCTTTCAATAAAAGCTACTACTTCTTACTCTGGTTATTACAGCTACAGACAGCTCTTACACCAACTCCTTATTATACCAAGGGTCTGAATAATAACAGAAAAAAAAACCACACAGTATTTTGAAGGAGTCTGTGTTTATATATTTCATTAAGGAGCCAAATCTCGCAGACAGCTCTTACACCAACTCCTTATTATACCAAGGGTCTGAATAATAACAGAAAAAAAAAACCACACAGTATTTTGAAGGAGTCTGTGTTTATATATTTCATTAAGGAGCCAAATCTCGATGAAATACTCTATAAATATTAAGGGACCAGTGATAACATCACATAACTTGAATATGAGAGGAAAATACTCAAGATCACATTTTAAAATACTATAGATTACGAAGTAGCTTCCAAACCACAAATATTCATTTTTAAAAATCCTCCTGCTTTCAGAGCTTAAAGAAAATATTTGATGGATCAAATGTCACATTGCCAACTAACAGTTTAGTGGCTAAGTTCTTTAAGTCTCGTTGATGAAGACTAATTTCTGATTAACCCAAGAGAGTTAGGGTAAATAGCTTAAACATTTAAATTAAACAAGTTTCTACCAATTATACCTTATCTATATAAAACAAAGTCAAAGCCTATTTACAAACAACAAATACTAAAGTAATAGCCAAACCATCTATGAGTAATGGTCAATACAAAAAGCTGGGTAAGAGTTTTGATAACCTGGGTTCAAATTATGTCAACATCTTATTCTCAAATGCAGACAATTGACATGTCACTTAGTCATAGGGAATTAGTGAGACTGAGTCTGAGGATTCACATGAATAAATTTTATCAGACACAAAGACTCTACAGTCTGCCGACTCTCGTGTCCAAAAAATTTTACCAGACCCAAGGATTCTAGCTACATACTCGTTTCACCAGACTAAAAAATAAGATTTAAAATATGTACTTTTTCTATATGAAGTTTTAGACCCTCAGATTTATTCCACAGGGCATGAAGAAGTACAATTTGATCAGGCCACATTAAAGACTTACTCAACAAAGTGAAAAGGCAGGAACAGGAATGTTTTTAAAACATCTCTCTGATGATGTGAACTATTACTCCCTTGGTGCACTCTACCTTCTAGAATGCTTTAAGTGGCAGTACCAGAGACTCCTAGCATGTCTACAGAACTAAGTTCTTTAAGTCTTGCTGATGAAGACCAATTTCTGATTAACCCAAGACAGTTAAGTTAAACACTAAAGAAAAACAAAAAAACCTTATAGATATGCCCCATTTCAAGAAACATAAAACCTCATGCTTACAAAATAGTCCAAGTAGGGAGTGACTGTTAATATCACAAATAATTTTCCTCTATAAAGTAATTCACTTGGACATTTGTTAAAACAATTTAGATTACAAAACTCTGATTAATGCACTTTCCAGGGGACATTTAGCTCATAATTTAAGTTCACCTGCGTCTAGAGTCAATATCTCAAGGGAAAGAAAATGAGTGTGTATGAAGAAAAGGTCAAAGCAAATAACAAAAATCACCATAATAGTACAGTCTAATAAATGAAGAAATCAAGAGGCAGTTTCATTAATTAATATATTTTCTGCATTATAGTTAACATATGTACTTTCTTCGTGTCACCTTATTTTTCGTTAAGTATTGATATTTTGTTATATTCAGACATGATTACATTTCAACAGTCTTTTGCAATAAATATCATAAAATAATAGATTCGCATAATAAATATTCTTTACAATAAAAAAGTTTAACAGACTTTTGTCTTAAAAATAGTCAGAATTCAATTTTGTGATTTATACATAAAATATACAAAGAGCACCACAATTTGTGGCTAAGGCAATAAAAATACAGAGCAGATCAGAATTACTCAGGTGTTAACTAACAAAGGGACCAAAAGGACCATTAAGGAGCCAAGATCACTTTAGGCAGCATAGTTCCATGACATCTACAGATTGATCAGCTATAAATAACTTCAGTTATCCAAGTGCCCTCAATGACAAAAAAAATTTTAAGTGTATGGGGTGTGGAAGGAAGGTAGTTGAGTCCTTCACAAATATGAAAGCTAGGATAAAGATGAGCAAGATACAAACCAACATATCTCCAATGTGAAGATTTACATTGTAAAGCAAAATCTAAAATTACATAGAAAGAAAAAACAAAACACACACCTGGCATCTCCAGAGTAAGATAATGCCAAAAATGAGGGGAAGAGAACTTAGACGGACAAGGAGAGGACAGTGGTTAAAGAAAAAATGTTATGTTATAACAAAATTATATGGTCCATGCTACTTAAGGGTCCAATGCTAGGAAGATAGCCCTAATTGGAGAAAGATTTAATACATAGCTTATTTAAGCAATTAAACAGTTGCTTTTTCAAAAACCAATTTTCCTGCTCCCACAGTACCCAATCACAAACAGCTCTAAATCACTGTAGTCTGGGTGTGGATGTACGTTTGCACATACAACTTTGGAAAGCTGCTTGCAGAGCAAAAAGGCTATACCAAAGGTCCACTGGCTCTCAATACCCTCTCAAGAGGATGGCAGAGACTCTTGTCATGAGTGGGAGCCAGGTGCAGTTTCACAGTCCACTGTTATGGAAGATCATCCATGAGAGATGAGTAAAATCCATGAGTCAAACCTTAGGAACAGGTGAAGAAAAGGCAGAAAACAGGGAAAAATCTATAGAAAAGAAAACCAGTATCTAATAGAATCTTTTTTAACAGCCACAACTTGAAAGCTTGAAGTTCTAAAGGTGCAAACCACTTCCAAAAATCATGATGGTTTACCCTGACCCCGGGAGGGGCAGCTCTCCAGCTTACAATAGACAGTGTTGGAGTTCTTACATCTGCACCCTGGGCGATGGATCCAATCATAACACCCCTTGCATAGCTTCAGGCATCCCTTAGCAGGGGGATAACAGAGTAAGCAAGGTAAAAATAAAGACATGGTTCCCATACACAGGTATCTAGAGCAGCAGTGTGACTGTGAACAGGAGCAAGGATTATCTGAGTAAGAATCCCCTTCGTCGTCATTGGAGCAGTGGTAGAAGATGCCCTTGACTAAGCACATGCAGGTTCCATATTCCACCATGCTTTCAGCAGAGCAAAGGCACTGCCGGTTACAGGCCAAACAAGATGGCAGGGTCCTGGGAGCTGTGCATTCTCCACACTTGCACTTTCCACACTGTTCACAAATGAACTTGTGCTGTGTCAGATCCTCTTTTAAGGAACCTTTCAAGTCATCCACAATCAGTTGCTTGGGCTGAGTCCGGATTGCCCTTTCAGACCTATGACCAGGGACTGGTCTGTTTGGTGGTGACCTTCCTAAGAGTCCCTGCTCAGAAGAGGCACTGCTGTTGCTCCCAGAACTGGCTGCACTTCCAGTGCTGGTCGATCTGCTCAAAATGGGGCCTCTAGCATTACTTGGGAGTCCCACATGTCCCAGGTGGCTTGTAGGTCTATGTTCATAGTTGTTATTCACATTAATTGGTATGATTTCATGAGTCCTTTCATGCTTTTCTTGTCTTGGTGCTGTCCGAGGAGCAGGTCTTTTCACCACTGAAGGTCCTTCTGTATATTCGTTGCTGCCTCTGATGGCCTTTATCTGGTCTAAGGACAAAATAGCAGCAGGCTGAATCTCTCTCTCATAGTCTAATCTCTGACGACTATCCAAAGAAGGCTGCTGGATCACAACTAATGAACTGCCACTGCCATGTTGATTTTGGGGATCCATGTGTAATGATCTCGAATTCTGACAATCAATGGAAACCTGGCATGCATCTGAAATCCTAAAAGGAAATCAAAGATGAAAAAAACAGAGAGAAAATAAGTGACAGGAAGTATTTTTTGGGGGAAAATATCGTGTCAACTCACAAATTGCCTAAACCACCTGGTAATGATCTCCTTCATCAGCGGATTACAATGATGCTGGGGTCCTGGCCAGAGTCCAATTCCAAGAGAGGCTGGGGACCACACATCATAGAAGAAGAATGTAAGCAAGAGACCCCATGCCATAAAAATGAGTTTTTCCAACTTTTAAAAAGTGGAACCAAGGGGAAGTAATGCCTTCCTGTTTATTAATGTAACAAATAATTAAAATGGAGTATGCCTTCGGAGGGAATATTGAGTATAAGCAGCAGAATAGCTCACATCTAAAGAAAGCTCAGTATCAATTCGTCAGTGGTTTCCATTAAGGAAAATATCTACTTTAAAAAACACAAGAATGGCTTTGGTGCTGTTTGTTGCCTTTTTGTTATTTGTGAGATGTTACAAGGATTAAAGATGAGGAAATTAATGAAGGCTTTTTTTAAATTTAAAATTAAGTCGCTTTCAGTAGAAATTAGGATTTTAAAGCTATCTCATTATTCATCTATGAGATACAAAACTGCATGTATGAGGAATACAACTGTTCTTGTTGTATTATAGCCACTCAAAAACACACAAAAAACTCAATGTATAGTTCTGTGAATGTTGTAACAAGAGTATTCACACTTGGTTGGAATCATGAAAGGATATTTTTAAAGCTTAAATAAGGGATCACTCACATAATTTTTTATGCACAAATAAATTTTAGGCCTTTAAAGTAGTGTGGGGAAATCCTGGCCATTTTAATTATCTGTGTTTCATCTAATTTAAAAATCTGTATTTACATGACAGACCTTGATTTTCAAAAGCACTGCCAACTCTGAATCAATGTGCTTCTTGTAACAAGTACACTAATTTCCTGATAAAAATGAGCATTTGTTTCCATATTAATAGAAAATTATCTCTAATTTATAATGTATTCTTCATAAAACAAACTACCAAAAATAAAAACGTCTCCGTTTTCAGACGATGGTAAAGTAGAATATTTTTTCACACAAATTCCTTCTAAAGTCTACAGATTCGACCCCTCAATAACGGGGGGAAAAAATGAAGCCCATTCTCCACTAACACCCTGAACAAAAAACACACCGGCTTAAAAGAATACAGCAGAAAGAAGTCCATTTCGTATATTAACTGAACTAATGTCCCTAGACCATGCCTTATATGTTAATTTCCTCGCGTTCTCCTCATTTTCACAACTCAGATCTCCCAAGTTTCGACTTTATTCTACTTTCTCTGCACACGAGGACAGTCACATTCATGACCTGCTGGGTTTAGTCCTGGAGTCCTTAAGGGCTGTTAAAAACATCCAATCTTTACTCCTGCACAACATCATTCCTTCCCGCAAAGACCTTTTTAACTTTGTGCTTTGAAAGCAAAGGATCTCAAAGTACTAAGCCAGATCCCACAGGAAAGGAAAAACTGTGCAGAAGGATCAGAACACTGTAAACCAAAACACCAGGCATAACTTCAATTTGCATTTTAAATGATGGCCGTAATGAGGTTCTTGCTGCCAGACAAAAATCAAGAGCAAAGAAAATTCGCCACCTCTGATCCAAAGAAAAGCCCATTTGCAAGCAGCGACAGTCCTCGATCTAACCCCAAACACGCTCACACGCTCTCGGCACGCCGTTTTCGCCAAGCAGACACGAATCAAAGTAGAATACCTTGTCCGACAATGCCATCACATCCTAAGGATCACCGTGGTCTCCAAGACACTTTTTGCGTAGCCCACCAAGGTTCCTGACAAATCATGAAGAGCCTTCAGCGTTACGGCGGGCCCGCAAAGCCAGCCCACGGTCTGGCCGGCCACAAGTGTCTATCTCTACACTTTACAGGAAAAACTGCGTTCATCGAGGGCAGGGGAGAAAGAAGGGGCAGCGGGGAAGCGTCGCCACATTGCAAGTTAGGACGGTGGAGCTGCGCCCTCTGCAATCCGCACCGAGAGCGCCGGTGAATAAATAGTTGACGGAGAGGAAGGAAAAGGAAAAAGTTATGAATGAAAACAAGTTTTCTCTCTCTCCTCTCTCTCCGGCAGGAGGAGGGGAGGAGGCTGAGGTTACCATTACCTCAGGAGGGCGGACTTCCCCACTTTTAAAGTGGCAGTGCCCTCTCCCCTCCCTCGCCTGTGCACCGCTCTCAAAACAAGCAAGTTGAAGCTGGCTTTCGCGCTGAAACTATTCCGGCAGGGGGTTACCCGCGGATTCCGGGGGCTTGCCCCTTACACACACGCACACACGCACGCACACACACACGCACGTACCACACACGGCCTCTCCCGGTCGCACGTCTGGGGGCACACTCCTCCCACAACTCCTGCCGTTGGCACTCGCCGAGATGCTCCTCAGGGTCCCCACAGAGAACACCCCCAAAGCCTCCTTGAATCCATCTCTCGCATGGAGGGTTCCTCCGAGAGGGCAACCCGGACCCCAGCGTTACCGCTCCCAGCAACCGGGAACCAGAAGACCCTGCCTCAGCGTCCTCCGCAGCGGCGGAAGGTGGTCCCCCCCGCCCCCAGCCCCGAGCGCCTCCGGAGCAGCGGCTCCCAGGGCGCGCGGGGCGGCGGGAGGGGCCTGC